GGGGAGGGTGTATATGTGTGTGTATGTGCACGTGAAGGCTAGAGGTTGATAGCGGCGGCTGTCTTTCTAGATTGCTCTCTACCTTGATTGTTGAGACAAGGTCTCTTACTGCACCTGGAGCTCACCGGTTTGGCTATACTGGTTGACCACTGAGTTCCAAGAATTCTCCTGCCTCCATTTTCCTAGCACTGGGATTATAGTCACAAGTCACCACACCCAGATTTGATGTGGTTTCTGGGGATCCAAACTCATGTCTTCATGCAAGCACTCAAGCAAGCATGAAGTTAAGTATTCATGGCTAACGAAGTGTGCTTACCAGGTGGAAGGAAAAAAATAGCCAGTCACCCAATCTATGATGTTGTATCAGTACTATTTATACTGTGAAGAACTTAACAAGGCTTGGTTAGGAAAAGGCTGGTGATTTGAGCAAGAGACACAAAGTTAAAATTTTACCATCTTTCAATCCTATTTTGTGTATATAAGTATTTAGCTTGGTTACTTAATATTCCTCTTCCTAAACTGATTGTAAGGCTTTATAAGAAAAACACTTTACTATCCAATCCAAAAGAGTCTAGAACATTTGAAGTAACAAAATGAAAATTTACACAATTTTACACATCTTTGTTTTTTGCTCAAGTCACTTATGACTTCCTCATTAAGAGTGTGCATTTGTGCTCAGCACTGAAAGAGCCTGTTAGAAATGACCAAAGTCCCTAAGGGTTCACTGCAGCCTTTTCTTTTTTTTTTTTAAAGCTAGGCAGCAGAAAATCTAGCAATCATTCAGAACTTCAGAATTCTAACAGCAACATTTCCCAAAGAGCAAACCAGAAGATGTCAACTTTTGAGGTGCCAAAGGCAAAAAAAAAAGATTAAATAGACTTTGGAAAGGTTATTTAGTGCCTCTGTGAAAAATCACTTTAAGTCTCCAATAAGTCCCTTGGGAAAGAATTATCATGAGCCTGTTGTCCCAATGCCTATTAATATACGACCTGTGCTAGGCCTCACAGAACTTTCTGGAAGATACAGCAAAGGATCAGGGTGCAGGTATTAGCTAAGTAAACTTTTAAAGAAGTATTACTTGATCATGTTGTAGATACCTAAATGGCTCAGCACATCCATGAGCACTGAATTTAGAGTCACACTTCTGTTTACTCGTGAATACAAACAACATACCTAGTTCTGCAGTCTTCTGCAATATTAACATCAGTTAACACATAATCTAACTACACTGAGAAACAAATTTTAATAGGATGTGATCTCAAAAAACATAGTATTTTTCATATTTGCTTTGCATGTTTGTCTGCATTATGAGCAAGCTACTTCTAAGAAGGTTTGAAATCTACTTTTAGGAATCACTCACTTTTTTTCTTTTTAGAATTTCATACACATAAGTTCTATATTTACATCATTTCTACCTTTCCTTCTCCCCCTCCCTTCCACAGCACCTCAATTTCAGAATCGCCCATAATTTTAACCTAAATGTAACTATTAGCCTCTGAAACACTGAAATGATCAGCCTAGAGGCAGAACTTTTAGATTTTATCATTTTATTATGGACTACGTCACAAAGAATTGGCTGCATTATTTGAAAATTCTCAAGAGTATTTTATCTTTTCAAAAAGACTTGTCATGGGGCTGGAGAAATGGCTCAGTACTTAAGAGTGCAACTGCTCTTATAGAGGACCTGAGTTTGATTCTTAACACCTACATGGCAGCTAACAACTAGCTCTACTAACTCCAGTTCCAGGGGATCCAGGGGACTTCTTCTGGCCTCCTTTCCCACTGCACAAATGGGTGCACTTACACACATGCAGGCATACACTCATACATATGAAATAAAAATAATTTTAAAATTTTAAAAGATTTTTATTCATGTGTATGTGCACACATGTGCACAGAGGTCAGAAGAAAGTTATCAGTTACAGGGAGCTATCAGTCACCAGAAGAGGTTGCTAGGAACTGAACAGGTCCTCTCCAAGAGAAGCAAGGGTTCTTATGCACTAAGCCATCTCTCCAGCTCCCCTTAAAATAATTTAATTACTCCTATTGGAGGCATGTATAGCATTTCATGTTTAACCTGATCTTTCCCACGACTTCCATAAGATTTCTGACCACAAAAAGAATCAACATAAAATCCAGTAAAGATGTATGACAATTACCATTTGATTGTTATCTGTCCCTAAAGGAACAACTGTCAACTCTACAGTCTCTTGAGATTTCCTATAATTCTAAGTACCCTCAGCATCACAGGCCTATGAGAATCACTCTAATCCTAACTTTCTTGAAATCATAAAGCATAACTTTTACTTGTAAAATAATTTCTTTAAAGACAGAGTCTTGATGTTATATATGTTGGCTACGTTACCCAATACCTCTAAATCCAGGTATCTAGACATCTAGACAGATTCATCTCCCAAGTGGGCCTGGAACTCATAATCTACCTGTCTTACTCTCCAGCAGTCAGGGATTACAGGTAGGCACACTCAGCTAAACACCCATTTTTGGGGGGGTCTTTTTGAGACAGGGTCTCCTTGTAGCCCCAGCTGTCCTGGAATTTGCTATGTAGACCAGGCTGGCCTTGAACTCACAAAGATCCGCCTGCCTCTGCCTCCCAAGTGCTGGGATTAAAGGTACGTGCCACCACACCCGGCATTAAACACCCATTTTTATAAACAGTTTGAACCAGTGGTTCTGAATGTGGGCCCCAAACCAGCAATATCAACTTTATCTGGAAACTTCTTAAAAATTTAAATTCTCAGGCCTCACCCAACCTCCCAGCATGTAACTATTTCCAAAGACCCTGAATCACACTGCCACAAAAAAGTAATCACTTTTAAACTTACCCTCCTGAGAGAACAGGTAACACCACTCGAACAAATGGAGGATCAAATGGAAAATTATCCTAAAAAAGTGTAAGTTTAATCAATTTTAAGAACATCTTTAATACTACATTACTTAGAAGATTTTAAAATAATCTATAAAAATGTATACATTTATTACCTGATCGTATAAAGGTCATAAAAGTGTAATTAGCACCCAAAAAGTAAGATGAAACAAAAACCAAATTAAATATAAAATTCAGATCACACCTGAACAGAATAGCCATTCAGTAACTTTATGAAATACATTAAGCAACAAGAAAAACGGAAGGCTAGCAAGAAGGTCCTTTTCTTCCAACCACAGCGGAGAAAAGCAAGAGGTTAACAAACAGCAGAACTCAGACTCAGGGCTGGAAGAAAAGAGTGGAGCTCCAAGTACACCAAACAGCAGTACCGGCAAGTCTCCTAGGCCCAGAAGAACAAACTACCAACTCTCTTGGCAGGGAATCATGCCCAGCTTTAAACCATCTCAGTTCCTGATTCTATGAAGTGATCCTCCTGTCCAAAGCCCTGGCAGGAGCAAATGTAAATTCCTTCTAAAAAAAAAAAATCATAAGCTTTAAATTCCCTCTGCAATTTTTCACATATAATGTCTATCACCAAAATAACCAGCTACATAAGACTTAAAGAGATTTAAAGATGACACAATCAGAAACCAGAAGCAAACCAGCCCACAAAGCCACAAGAGCTTGCAGGTACACATTAAAACAACTCTGACGAATATTTACAAGAAAAGAAAAGACAAACATGAAAGCTTAGTGGAGAACTGCAAATTACAAAACTGAACCATAAGGAAATCCTGAAATCTAGAGCCACAGTCACAAAAAGTAACAGCTAAATGCATGACTGAAACCATAGCAATTAACAGCAAAGAAGAGATTCAGTAAAGTAGAAAGCAGATCAGAAACATCCAGAATAAAGTTAAGGAAAAAATGTTTAAAAATGCAGGAAATAACAAGACAAGGTAACCATGCTACAAGGTGTACCACATACATAAAATCTTAGAAGAGAAAATGGGGCAAGAAAACGAGACGAGAATTTTTTAAGGACGTCTCTGGGTTTAACCACAATAAGCACCTTAAAGGAAAGACTAAAATCTGTAGTAAGGAGAGTAGTATCCTCAAGGTGCTGAAAGAAAGGAGCTGCAACCTAGAAACCCATACTCAACAAAAACACTCCAAAAATACAATTAGAGGAAGGCATAGCAGCACAAGCCTGTAATCCCAGCAGTCAGGAGGCAGAGGAAGGGGCATCTGAATTTGAGACCAGCCTGGGCTACACAACAAGACCATGCCTCAAAGAAAAAAAAAGAGAGCAACAAAAACAGATGTATTTTCCTATCTACAGACACACTCTAAAATAAATACTCAAGAATATTTTTAAGGTAGGAAAAATATCATCCTAGATGAAACCTGGGAGAATACTGGTATACATACAAGCACAGAATTTAAATGCCTGACGACAAAGGTGTACACAAGTGTACATGAATTCAAAGTGCTCCACAGATGTGTACTGACAAGAAAAAAAAACATAAATAAGACAAATTTGTATTACACTTTGACAGTTCAAGGACATGTAATTCTAAGGTAGAAAGACTACGCAAGGGCTGGAGAGATGGCTCAGTGGTTAAGAGCACTGACTGTTCTTGCAGAAGACCCAGGTTCAAATCCCAGCACCCACATGGCAGCTAACAACTGTCCATAACTCCAGTTCCAGGGGATCCGACAGCCTCTTCTGTCCTCCATGGGCCTTGCACAACACGGGTGCACTTCCCTACAGGCAGGCAATACACGCACACACATAAAATAAAAATAATAGGGGCCTGGAGATATGGCTCAGCAGTTAAGAGCACTGACTGCTCTTGCAGAGGACCCAGGTCCGACTCCCAGCACCCACATGACAGCTAACAACCATTTGTAACTCCAATTCCAGGGGAATTCAACGTCTTCTTCTGACCTCCATGGCATTGCACAACATGGGTACACTTACATACATGCAGGCAATATACTCATACACATAAAATAAAAATAATATAAAATAAAAAATAAAAAAAATATTTTAAAAAAAGAAAGAAAGAATAAGCAAACAAACTACCACCAAAGTGACAGAGGTGAGAACTGGGGGGAATTAAAAAATCCAGAAGAAAGAGGAAAAGGAAAAGAGCAAGAAATACAAGCAGAAAAATCACCTATAGCTTGGTTGATTTAAAGCCAGGTATCAGCAATAACATTAAATGCAATGATTGTTTCAAAATGTCAAAGGTAGGGCTAGGGAGATGGCTTAGTCACTAAAGTGCTTTGCTGTACAAGCATGAGGACCCAAATTCCATCCTCAGAACCAACATAAAAGACCAGGTACAACAGTACATGCCTGTAATTCCAGCACTGGAGAAGTGGAGATAGGTGACCTCTGGAACTTACTGGCTAGCCAGTATAGTCAATCTGGAGAGCACCAGGTTCAATTAAAGAACCACCCACTCCCCCACCCCACCCCCCAAAAAGTGGAACAAGATCAAAGATAACACCTAATATCAACTTCTGGCTTAAACATGCACACACATGAACACGTAAAGACACATATCACATGTACACAAAAAAGGCAAAGATAATCAGATTTAAAAGTATATGAAGAAAGGAGCACTCGGGTGGTAAAGGCAGGCAGATCTGTGAGTTCAAGGCCAGCCTGGTCTACATAGTGAGTTCCAGGTCAGCTGGGGCTACAGGGAGACCCTGTCTCAAAAAGACCTAAAAAAACAAAAAGGATATGAAGAAAAGAAGATGAGTAGAGGATGAGTAAAAACACAGCACCTTCTCAGGACAAGAAGCACAAATCTCTTTTTCAAATCCTCAGTTCTAGAGACTGTTTCCTGAAGAAAAGAGTATTTTTATGAAGCTGGAGAAAGGGCTTAGTGGTTAAATACAGCTTGTTGTTCAAGCAAAGGATAAGAGTTTGGAGCCCAGCACCCACATAAAGGCCAGTTGTAGTCCCATGCATGCCTGTAATCCCAACATTTAAAGGGGATGGAAAGAGGCTGCTGACTGCCAGGCTTGCTGAAGAAAAGCAAGCTCCAGGTTCAGTGAGAGGCCTGAAAAGAATGAGGAAGAGTGACAGAGGCACTGAGGCTGTCCCCTGGCCTCCTGTGTTTGTGCAGACCTGCACACATATGCAAGAGAATACACACACACACACACACACATACAAAAAAGGAAGATAATTTTGCTAATTACACTAAAACACAGACAGTAAAGTAGCAGAGTGTTAGAGGTCAGTGCCCTGATGGTCAGGAGGCCAAGAAAGCTGCCCCACTTCCTATAGCACTCAGACAGGGAAACGGCTTACAGCTCCTCATGAAGACAGGTCAAGGGAGTCTAAGAGAAATTATGTTCAATTTTTACATTCAAACCACACGGTTTAAAGGAGACTAATGCTTTTAAAAAACCTTACTTGAGGCTAAGATAGGTACAAACATGTTTCATTCAATTATTTTTAAGAAAACAAAAAAATAAGATTAACTGGAAGAATAAGTAGCATGATTTCAGTAACTTCCCTTTGCCTACCCACAAGTAAGATGCTGAGGAACTAAGAACTATGAAATTCAATCATGCTGGCAGAGGAAGAAAACAGCACTTTTCTAATAGCTAAAATGGGTTGTCTTAGGTTTCTACTGCAAATAAAGAGAAGAAATTTACACATACAAGGTACCAACTTAATAACAGTTACAGTCTACTTTCAAATCCACAACATAACAGCATAATGAAAGGCATGGGTACAAAGCTTGGAATAGCAGAACTATTATTTATAATAAATCTTTAAATACATGATCCCAAATGAGTAACTATAAACCTCTTTTAATTGATTGCAAACTATCTTCCTTTTCAGAAGTTTTAGAAAGTAATCCTACACAAAACTTAAGGCATTCTACTCCATAAACTAAGAGTTTTTGAAAAATAAAAAGTTCTTAAAAAAAAGAAAACCAAAACAAATAAACAAAACCCAAGAGCTAAAGAGGTGGCTCAGCAGTTAAAAGTTATTTAATGAACTTGCAGAGGACCTGACTTTCATCGTTTCCAGCAACCACATTAAAAGGCTCACAACCACCTGTAACTCCATCTCCAGAGATCTGACACCCTCTTCTGGACTCCAAGGACACCTGCACTCAGAGGTGCACAAACCCACATGCAGATATACACATGCAACTGAAAATAAGTCAGGGATGGAGAGATGGCTCAACAGTTAAGAGCACTGGCTATTCTTGCAGAGGCCCCAGATTCAGTTCCTGGGTCACCCAAGCAGCTCATAACTGTCTGTGATTCCAGGGGATCCAATACCCTCTTCTGGCTTCTGTAGGCATTGCATGCACATGATGCACTTACATGCAAGCAAAACATACAGACACATAAAGTAAAAATACAATGTAAAAGACTCTTTTAAAACTACTTTCTAGCCTATTTTAAAAAACTTTTTATTAGGGCCAGGTGTGATGGTACACACCTTTAATCCCAGCACTCAGGAGGCAGAAGCAGGAGGATCTTTGTGAGTTCAAGGCTAGCCTAGTCTACATAGCGAGTTCCAGGAGAGTTGGGGCTACAGGAAACCCTGTCTAAAAAAGATTTTTAAAAAAAGAGAGAGAGATAAAACTTTTTATTATTTATTTTAATTTATGTGTTTGAGTATATTGTATGCATGCATATAAGTGCACCTGTGTCATGCAACACTCACAGAGGTCAGAAGAGGGCATCAGATCCCCTAGAGCTGGAGTTACAGATGATTGTTGGCAACAATGTTGGTACTGAGAACAGAACTCAGGTCCTCTACAAGAGCAGTCACTGCTCTTAACTGCTGAGCCATCTCTCTAGCCCCCATATAGCCTATTTTTTAAAAAACTGAATATACTGGGGCTGGAGAGATGGCTCAGTGGTTAAGAGCATTGACTGCTCTTGCAGAGAACCCAGGTTCGATTCCCAGCACTCACATGGCAGCTACAAACTGTCCTTACTTAACTCCAGTTCTAGGGGAATCTGAAACCCTCTTCTGACCTCCAAGGCATTGCACAACACTGGTGCACTCACATACATGCAGGCAATAAAACTCATACACACAAAATAAAATAATAATTTTTTTTTTTAAATTGAATATACTTGAATAAACTTTGTATAGTAACTCAGAACCAAAGAATCTTAGGTTTACAAGAATCTCATACCAAGTTCTCTGGTTTCCAATTTAAGATCTCAGCCTTCTAAACTGTTTTTTTTGGGGGGGGGCGGTGCTGAGGCAGTATCTCACTATGTAGCTCAGTCTAGTCTCCCACCTCATGATCTTCCTGCCTTAGCATCCCAAATGCTTGGCTAACAGGCAAACAACCACCATCATGCCTGGCCCTCGCTAGTCTTAAAGATAAAGAATACTCTACTTTTGAAAGACTACATAAAGGAATGACTCTAAATCACTTCCTTATAGTGAAAGGAGCCTCCTTAATAATTTGATTTTAAGTTCTAATCTATGCCTGTGTTCATCAAAAGCAAATCTAATGCTCCAAATATAGAGTCTTTCAAATAGGTAAAGTCAAGTTAGCATGAATCTCAATGCTTTCTCCTCTCCAAATCCACAAAACAGAATCCTAATCATGGCTACTGAAACACCTAAATATCTTCTTAAAAACACTACTGCAGATATGGCCTGAAATGTTGGGAAATCACTTCTTAAAGGCACAGCACACAGACTGACGAAGTTACTGACAGGCTCCCAGTCCCATTCTTGTATTACATCTTCAGCTCTATTTTCTATTATTCATGACTCTCAAGTTCCCACTGTGGATATCTGAGGTCACAGACTTTGTAGTCCTGGCTTCTTCTTGTGAATCTTTGAGTCACACTTGCTATCTCCGAAGTCTGAGGATTACAGTACTATTGGCAATTTAGTTTAAAATCTTTTTCATAAGGTCAGTTAGGTCAGGACAATAATTCTTCCTAGACTTCTAAAGAAATACTCAAAACCTGAAAAGGCCCTTCTTCCTAGTGTCAGGAACCATCATTCCAGAGTCTAAATCTAAATTCTAAAATCCAATCCCTGATTGTACCCTCCCTGAAGTTCTACCTTGGGCAGGAAAAATTAATGAAAACACTACCTATAGTCATAATCAACCTGGTCAACATTTCATATTCCTTTAAAAAAGAATTCATATTCCTTTAAAAAGTTTTGAGTTCAACTGAGAGTTCAGGGAGAAGGTGAGAGAGAGGAACACACAGATGCTAACAAGATTTTACTCCAAATTGCTGTTAAACATGAGAAAACGACATAACACCCATTTTTTCAGCTTAGAAATGTTTTGGGTTTTCTTTAAGAATATTTTTCTGGTTTTCTAGCCATGTTTTTTATTGTTTCTGCTGTTTGTTTGGTCTGGGCCTTTCATTCACTGCCCTCTCTAGTAGCAAAAATGAAAAGTCATCAGCTACTTCAGTAACTATATGCCAGCTTCACACTCTTGGAAGACAAACCATTTAACAATAACAAAGGTGAGGGAAAACACTGACTTGGAAGCTCTCTCAAGAAGGTAGTCATCTTACTCAAACAAGAATACATGCATGTAAACCACTGATTAGCTTTCTTTTCTAAGTATAGAAGAATGTTTTTAATGTCTCTGTTCTTCCTTCAAAATCTCTCCTCCTACGTTCACCTACTCCATCACCACCATACATTAGCTCTGTGTCATCACTTCTTGCTAAGATTAAGTAAAAGCTTCCAACTAGTGTCCCTGAAATCTACTCCACAGTACCCAGACCATGCTGCTGCATGTAGCACAACTGTTGAAGACAAAACAGAAAGTTTAACAGACCAATTGTACCCTTGAATAAAAGAACCACTAATTGCTGTTTACCACCTGAAGGGAAGATCCCAGAAATCCCAGACTTTCCACCAAGTTCTCCAGAGTGCTACAGCTACTTCCCTGAATCCCCCAGAAGACTACAGGTTCTTGAACAGGGATAAAACTTCAGCTGTCTCCAGCACCAAAGCCCTCCACAGCACTTAGTGCTTCAAGTCAGTTAGGTAAACTAAAATGGAAAAAAACTGTACCTGCAAGACAACTGCTGAACAACCTTTCCTTCTCAATTTAAAAGAATGTCAAAAGAGAAGCTCTATATAATTTAAACATAAATCCTTGGACCATCTCCCTTTTGTTGTTTAGACAAAAGTTCAATCTATCCGGGATTTTAAATCATTGTTTTGTCCACATTGCATGTTAAATCATTAACCTTTTATCTAGATTCTATTACCATTCTTTTTTAACCTTCAAAGTTATTACTAAACAGAATACAAACTCAGAAAGGAGCATAAAATAGAGAGGTAGACCTTAACAAGTTACTGTAGAACTGATGCCCATGTGGCAATCACTCTGGTCAAGAAAGAGTCTCCAAGCATGCAGCTAAGATACCTACAGATGTCCCCTTCAGCTCAATTCTAGGCGTGCTCCTTCCCTAATTTATATGGTAAAACATCTTGTTCTCTGTAGTTTTACTGCCCAGGTATGAATCCTAATGCCAGAGTTTCTAAGCTTTCTTTTTGCTGCTGCTCACCTAAGAAGTCATTTTAGAAATTTTTTACCTAGTTTCACCTGCACTGCCCCATGGAATTTTGGCATTGCAGAACTGTGTGTATTTATGTTTTATGGCCAAAGACAGTATAATACCGAAGAATGTTTCATTCTAAGGATCCATTTTCACTACCTGCACTGAAAACACATGCCCTAAAAATACTAGTTTTACAAATTTTTGAAGTCTATATAAACAGAATTGTACAAAACTGGTTTGGAGTCAGGTTTCATCTGCTTAATACTGTATATAAGATTCACCTAACTTGTAGGCTAGCAGCTGTATCACATTTTAAGGATACCATATTCTTCACTGTATTGAAATTTCAGGCTTTTTGGTTTGGAGCTATGATAAACAATGCTGCTCTGAGACTGCTGTATATGTCTACTGGTGTGCCTAAGCACTTATTTCCTGTGGAGTATATGCCTCAAGAATTCCTTAATGTGCCAGGTGTGGTAGCACATATTGTTAATCCCAGCACTTGGGAGGCAAAGGCAGGCAGATCTCTGTGAGTTGTAAGAGGACAGCCCAGTCTTCATAGTGTGTTCCAGACCATTCAGGGCTACAAAGTGAGATTCTGTCTTTTAAAAAAAAAAAAAATCCTAACTACATATAGGGCATGGTATCTTCTACTTGTACCAATTCATTTCTCCAAAGCAGCTGTACCAATACACACTCCCATTAGAAGAATAAGAATCCCATTACTACATTCTTACCTTAAAAGAGAAGTTAAGCAAAATATACTCTATGCCTTCTTTTTCTTTTAAGATCTGAAGATCACTGTGCAAAGGACTATCAGGGTCAACCCTAGTTAGAAAACAAAAGCCAGTTCAAACAAAATTTTAAAACTCTTTCTTATTGAACTCAAAACTGGACCAGTTCATGAGCTATAACCAAGACCCCAATGTAAGTTCCAAACAGAAGTTCTAAAGTGCTCTAGATCTCCCAAGAAAATTGTCCTTAGGAAATAATATGAAAAAAATATTACAGTATTCTAAATCCATTCTAATTAGGGGATTTGAAATTAGCACTCATTCTAGTTAGATATGCATACTTTTTGAACAACTCAAAAAAGAATTGATATGCTTTCCTAAAATTATTAACCAAGAAGTTCAAGGAAAGAAATTTGCCACCAACAAAACCATGAAAGTCAAATCACTATAAAAAGACATTTTTCTACAACTGTTCTATAAATACTGCACAAATCTCTTTATTTTAAACATAAACTGGTAGACTAGGCAGTCTCATTAGGTTATTTGAATGCATTCTTCCAGGCAAACCTCAAAACCACTTTATGCCACATCTGGTCCCTCCTTCACTCCGTCCTTTTTCATTTTAATATTACGTCTCAGAATCAGCTCATTGTAACAATCTAAGAACTATTGTTATAGGAATAAGTAAGGTCTATAATAGTTCATTATAAAGGTATCAAATTAAAGAGGCAAAAGAATTTTTTCTTTGCAAAAAGTAGGTCAGCACAGGAAAGGCACTTACTTATGTAATTTAACATGCCAGTCATATAAGCTGTCATTTATTAGTTCCACTGAATAAATCCCTGTAAAGATAAAGCACACGTTGATTTCTCCTTATTTGATTACGTATTACTCCGAGGCAAATAAATGTATATACTAAATAGTAACAATGAAATTCTGCTATTTAAAAATATGGAAAATCTATACTGTATTATAAAAATTTTACCACTGAAATCGAGTCTTACTCATTTATAAAATAGTCATCAACTAAAGGATGCTTTAATGAATTAAACTGTTTACTGCTCACTTTGAGTGAAAACATACATTAGGCAAATCATATTTCTGTGTACACAGAAGCATTTCTATGAAGATGGGATATTTACACATTACATGGTTTTTGTAATCTTCAGCTTTCTGAGATCGCTTTTGTCATTCTTTTTATATACCATACATACATCTATTGTCAATCTTTTTATTTTAAAGATTTATTTTTAGTATTTTACTTGTGTGTACATTTGTGCAAATGTATGCCACTTCTATGTATGCCTGTGGAGGCCAGGAGAGAGTGTTGGATCCCATGGAGATGGAGTTACAGGCAGTAACTCTATAAATCAAGAACTTTGTTTTTACATAATTCTAGTCATTTTTATAGGATAACTCAGAATTCCTGAATCAATGCTATCTTTTCCAATGAATTAAAGTTATCTTCTTCTTGAGCTGGAAAGAAAGATGGTCCTCTTCCAGAGAGGATCCAGGTTCAATTCCCAGCAACCACACAGTGGCTAACCGCAATAGCACTATCTAAGCCAGGTTTGGTGGCATGCGAGTGTAATCCCATCACTGGGCGGAAAGTGAGTTTAAAGCCAGCCTAGACCAAATGGCTCCCCTAACACTATTCAAAAGAAACAGAAGAAAGATCTGGAGGAGAGAGCAAAACAGAGGCAGCAAAGACAGTGACGTCCTTACCTGTCTTGTAACTCTGTGATCTGTAGATGTCCCTGAGCTCCTTCATAAGTCTATCTGAAGCTTGCACGGACCCAGAAACTGCACCCTGAAACATCAAGAAATGAAAGATGTAAGGCACTGGAACATGATATAAAAAAATGTACAGTAATCACCACACAACATTAAGTCAATGAAGCTCAGTTAAAGATCATGAAGTGTCAGCCTAGTCATTTACTCTTTTTAATATTTACTATATTTTTTATTTTATGAGTGTATTGCCTGCATTTAGGTGCACCTGTGACATGCAGTGCCCTCAAAGGTCAGAAGAGGGCATCAGATCCCCTGGAACTGGAATTATAGACAGTTGTTAGCTACATGTGGGTACTGGGAACCAATCCACGTCCTCTGCAAAAGCAGCCAGTGCTCTTAACTGCCGACTCATTTCTCCAGCCCCAATCTTGCATTTTTTTAAATTTTATGTGTATGATGTATTACCTGCATGTAGGTAAATACACTCATGTTGTGCAATTCCTGCAAAGGTCAGAAGAGGCTGTCAAATCCCCTGGGATTGGAGTTACAGACAGTTGTTAGCTGCCATGTGGGTGCTGGGATTTGAACCAGGGTCTTCTGCAAGAACAACCTGTGTTCTTAACCACTGAGCCATCTCTCCAGCACCTGTTTTGTTTTTTTGTTTGTTTTTTTTTTTGAGACAGGGTCTCCCAGTAACCCCAACTGGCCTGGAACTCACTATGTAGACCAGGCTGGCCTTGAACTCACTATGTAGACCAGGCTGACCTTGAACTCACAGAGATCCACCTGCCTCTGTCTCCCTAAAGGAGTGTGCCACCACGCCCAGCGGGTTTTTTAAGACAGTGTCTCTCTGTAGCTGCACATGACCTGGAACTCACTATGGTGACCAGGCTGGCCTTTATCTCACAGAGATCAGCCTGCCTCTGCCTCCTGAGTGCTGGGATTAAAGGCATGCACTACCACACCTGGCAGTTGTTTCTTGTAATTAAGGAAGAACCATCTAGCAGCATGTCTAGACCATCAAGGGTTCTTGCAATAGTGCTAGAATTCATTATGTGTCGATTCTGAACTCCAATTTCTAAAACTACTAGAAGACTCTCACAACACCACATTACTGACAAAAACAGAGTTCCATTAACAAGACTATAAGCAAGACGGTTGGTTACACTCAAAGTCAGTTTACATCTTGAGAAAATGACATTTGCCTTCATACAACTAGTTGTAGTTCTTTACAGCATTAAAACTTCTCTAAAGATGAAAAGGCACCAATCTCCTATTAAGCCTAAGGATGAATCACATTAGTTTTTGGTCATGTGAAATTAAAGATTTTGACCAGGCATGGTGGAATACCCCTTTAAATCCTGCACTCGGGAGGCAGAGGCAGATGGATCTCTGTATGAGGCAGGCCAGCGTGGACTATGTATTGAGTTCCAGGTCAGCTGGAGCTACAAGGAGACTCTGTCTCAAAAAAATAAATAAAGATTTGGGGCCAGCAAGATGGCTCAGCTGGTAAAGGCACTTACATCAAACCTGATGAACTGAGTTCAATCCTAGAACCCACAATGTGAAAGGAGAGCACTTATTCCCACAAGTTGTCTTCTGACCCCCAAGTAAAACTGTGGCAAACACACGTGCATGCATACACACACACACAAAATTAATTAATTAATTAATTAAACATAGTAAGAACAAAGTTCTTTAATTAGAGATTGTAGAAGTTACACTACTCTGTGGGAGAAAATGAGTTTATAAAGGTAGTATTTCCCAGCTATGTGTTTTTTTTTTCCTTTTCATGTATATATGATATACATGTGTATATGATATACATGTGTATGCATATGCATGTGTTCCTGAGAGCCCAAGGCTTGGGAGGGAGGGTGTTTTTCTGGATTGTGCTCTACTTTATTCAATGAACCCAGAGCTTGCCAATATAGCTAGCCTACCTGCTCAGAAGATCCTGTCTCTACCTTCCAAGCGCTAGAAACACTGACAGGCCACCACACTCACCCAGCATTACATAGGCTCTGGAGAGTCTATGAGTAGGGCATGGTGGCGTACACCTTTGATCCCAGCACTCAGAATGCAGAAACTGGTGGCTCTCTGTGAGTTCAAAGCCAGCCTGGTCTACATAGAGAGTTACAAGCCAGCTGGGGCTACAGGAGACCCTGTCTCAAAAAGATCCCCCCCAAAAAGACACAGACTTGAAGTTCTACAACTGGTCAAACCCGAAGAATAAGTGACTCTGAGGTGCCCAGCTCTAGGTGACACACCTACAATGCAACCTTTACACCTAAGGCTCAGGGAACAATCACAGAAAATGGAGCAAAAAGAATTTAAGAATTTAAGACACCTGCTGCTAGTTAATGCATTCCAGACATGATAGGAAAGCTACCCTAATGAAATCTACAGTGTCGTAGTCTTAACAAAATCTTCACAAAGACAAAAGCAGTTTACAAGCCAAGGTGGATGGAGAAATTTTCACAGGGTCCCACCAGAAGATGAAGAGCTGCAGACAATCAATCCATGCTGAGGGAGGGAAACTCAGTTTTTCCAAGGACTAGTTCCCTGAGAGGTTATCTAATTACAAGTGGACTGTCCTAAAGAGAGCTACACACCAGCTCTCTTGGATTCAGTGCATTATTTGTGTGTCTTATGTATATATGTATACACACATGCATGTTTGTAAACATATGCATATGTAACAATAATAATCAAAGAAGAGGACAAGTAATTGGGAGGGAGGGACATGGGAAGACTTGGAGGGGGACTGGGAGGGACAGAAATAATAAACTCACGTATGACATTCTCAAACATAAAAAAATATGACATGGGCTTATCTAAATTTCCTTGCTATTGAAAAAGGCTTGCCAATTAAATTAATATAGTAAATAAGACCGAATGAGGGGTAAGAATCTACCTGCTTACAATTGACATTAACATGCATAACAATTCATTCACTGTTCAAAACAAAGCAAAGAGTCCTCAGATTTTGTAGTGATAATAAATAACTCTAATACAAGGTATATCAGATAGATTATCACTGTACATTTCTCTAGACATTATGTATGTATATAATAACATGCACACACATACACACATACAGCTTTCTTTTTTCACAAGTCATTCAAAAGGTATATACTGTCTGTCTACATTTTAAAGTTGAGAACATAGGTATCACCAAACTGTACATTTCATACTGCTACACGCTTCTCATAAGAAATGTTAAAGTAAGAGAAAAATTACTTTGGGTTTGATCAGGGCACAACAGACCAGAGGTCAGCTTCATGGAGGAGAAAGAATTTGAATAATACTTTGTAGGAGACTGAATCTAAGCATACTCTCACAGTAGGAAAGCAAGCAAAGGAACAGCAGCAGCAGGATACAAGGGGGTGGGAGTGGTTTCTAATTTCATTTCTGTTGCTGTGATAAAATAAACTGACAAAAATCAACTTAGGGGAGCAAGGGATTTAATTCAGCTTACAAATTCCAAGTCACAGTTCACCATTGTGAAGAAGCCAAAGCAAGAATTCGAGCAGCTTGCCACATCATATCACAGTTAAGAGCAAAGAGAAACAAACCACACACATGCTAACCTTGCTTGCTTTGCTCAACATAATTTCAAGACTCTCTCCCTATCCCCCCACACACCCCTAAACCCATCCCTGCCTAAGGAATGGTGCTGCCCAGTGGGCTGGGTCTTCCCCTATCAATTAAGACAAGTACCCCCAGCCCCAGGCATGCCACAGGCCAACCCGACACACACAAACCCTCCCTGAGACTCTCTTCCCAGGTGATCCTAGGTTGTGTCAAGTTGACAATTAAAGCTGACCAGGATGGGGTTATTACACAGGGTATCAGCAGACCATTCCAAAACCTGAAGAACAGGTGAACAGGGTAGAGTGTGGCTGCCAACAGTCAAGAGAGGCTGCCTAGATCAACAAAAGCATATGACTGAATCCACTACTATGACAGGGATAGAGGGGGAAGGCAGTGAGACTCGTGTTTTCATTAATTACCCAATTACTACCTATTTAACCACCAAGTCCTTGAGATATCTACTCACACTTACATTTAAATGGTCTTGTCTTTGAGTCTTCCTAATTTTCTCCAATATGGCCAAATTTTCTTTTTCAATTCCTTCATCCTCGGACTTTTTCCCACTAATGGGCTCTTCTTCCTTCATCTCGTAGTGATCCAAGTCTTCTATATCCTACAAAAAGAAAAAAAATTACTTAGCTCATTCTAGTTATTTTTCTTCACGAGCTTCTTCTGCCAAAAGATAATTTCTTACTAGAATACATAGGTTCCAGAAAGGCAGGATGCATCTACTCTACAAGGACAAGGAAAGCTTCCATATTCCATTCAGAAGGTTCTCTCCTTTAATATCTTGGTTTATTTAAAAACTAGACTGAGTACATCAGATTTAATAGCTTTACAAAGTCATGACTTATCAAATATGCCATCTTTTGAATTTTCTATTAAGAGGAACTTTTAAAATTTTTTATTTTGGGGGGACTGGAGATAAGGCTCAGCGGTTAAGAGTACTGACTACTCTTGCAGAGGACCCAGGTTCGATTCCCAGCACCCACATGGTGGCAACGAACAGTCCTTAATTCCAGTTCCATGGGAATCTGAAGCCCTCTTCTGACCTCTGTGGCACTGTACAACACCGGTGCACTCACATACATGCAGGCAATACACTCATACACACAAAATAAAAATAATAAGTAAGACAGACAGGTGTTTGCCACCATATGGGTCCTGGGAATGGAAACCAGGTCCTCTGCAAGAACAGTCAGTGCTCTTAACCCCATCTCTCCAGCCCCTAAGAAGTACTTTTGAAGCAGTTTAGTGGCTGGTACCAAGAACTTTATTTATCTGGGCATAGTAGTTTGTGCCTTTAATCCCAGCAAGTTGGCAGCTAACAACTGTCCGTAACTCCAGTTCCAGGGGATCCAGTGGCTTCTTCTGTCCTCCTCGGGCATTGTACAACACAGGTGCACTTACACACATGCAGGCAATACACACATACACATAAAATAAAAATAATTTTTTTTTAAAAAAAAAAGAAAGACTTTGCCAGTCTTTTAAAGGTGTGGTGGTGCACACCTTTAATCCCAGCACTTGGGAGGCAGAAACAGGCAGATCTCTATGAGTTCAAGGCCAGCCTGGTCTACACAGTGAGTTCCAGAACAGCTGGGGCTACAGGGAGACCCTGTCTAAAAAAGACCAAAAAAAAAAAAACAAAAACAAAAACAAAAAAAACCGACTTTAAGAGACACACATTTAGAGTTTTGGAAGTTGTCTGTGGTAATAACCTATTGGCTTTTGTAATTAGGGGAAAAAATCAGAACAAGAATTTGAAAACTACCACCAGGTCAACATCTTTACCACATCATTCTGCTCCGTCCTTTCCATGCCATCTGATCTTACACACACAAATCAATGCACAAGATTTTTAATACTAACTTTTTCAAGTACCTTACTACTCTACTTCAATTACCAAAATCTCTAAAAGAATTTTTACTTATCTCGATTTTTTTCACACAGATTATGATTTTAGACCAGGTTGATAACCACGTTCAATCCAAACTCAATGGGTCTCTTTCTTGGGAAGTCAGCTCTTCAGCCCATTACATTCTGTTCCTAAACAGACTCAGTACAGGACTTCCCACTCCGTGGCACTCTTTGGTGGACCACCTTTCAGCCCTATCTTCCATCTTATACTTTATCTTCAGAATTCCATCAAATGCCCTCAGTTGCTACCCACCGCCGCACCACCACCCCCACCACCACCACCACCACCACCACCTCCTCCTCCTCCTCCTCCTCACTTCTTCGCCCTCTCCCCTTCCCTTTCCCCTTCCCCCGCCTCCACCTTTAACTTCAGTCATATTTCCATCCACACATTTCACATGAATTTTAATCAGCAAATCGCAAGCAGGCTTCATCATTATCTTCCTAAAACAATATTCACAGCACACTATTCACTGCTTATGGCCTTCTCACCAACAGCCATATTAAACAGAAATGTCTGTCTCTAATTCAAATTTTCTGTTGTTAGATCAACTCCACAAAATAAAATTCAGGTTTATTGTTGGGCATTCTTTCACACAAACATCAAACAGGCCAAACTAAATAAAAATAAACAGCAACTGCATAGACAAAAAAAAAGAAAAAAGGCAACCTTTTATTTTCGGCCTTTTAACCATCTCATACAAACCAACTACTTATAGTACTGCTAGGTCCACAGACTGGACTGCTCAGAAGACTGGGTTTTTGTTATTGTTTGATTGTCTTGTTGTTTTGTTTTTGTTTTCTTGAGACAGGGTCTCCCTGTAGCCCCAATTGGCCTAGAACTTAACCAGGCAGGCCTTGATCTCACCTGCCTCCCTAGTGCACTGGGATTAAGCCACCAAGCCCAGCTTGTTTCCTTTTTTTTTTTAACAAGGCTTTTTTCCTCCTTTGAGATTACAAAGAATATGGTCACACACGAGTGGTAAAAAGTAGAAAGAGAATGCTTCCAAGGCTGGTTTGGCTAGCCACTAACTTTACAAATGGCTGACTCCTAACAATATGGGCAAAAATACAAACTGTAAATAAAAAAAAATTTTTTCTTTTAACGTAGTCTTGAGAAAAAAAGCGGGGTGTTGGAAGATTTTTCCTTTTTCTTTTTTAAGGTTTTCTTTTTCTTTTTTGGTTCTTTTTCTTTTTTAATCTATTGGAAATATACTTTGAGACTATGGCAAACTAAATTGGTAGTTACAGGCTTGTGTCTATGAGTAAAATAAGTATTAAAATTCATGTTGTTGTTTTGGTGGGTGATGGAAAGCACATGTCGTATGTGGCTGGCACTGCCTGCTGTGGGCAGGAGGGTCTGCCTCTCTTTTTCAAAGTAACCATGTTTAGATTCTGAGGCGGGAAGTGGAAAGGGAAAGGTCATGGTGGCCTTTTAAGTGTAACTTTTCTTTTGCTGTCCAGTCATCCTCATTGGTCTTCTGCTTCTTGGTACCAACATCATCATCCTCACCATCTTCAGCTGTCTACTTGCCCACAGCGGCCTCAGTCTCTTCATCTTTATTGCCATGCTCTTCCTCCCCATCACCTTCCTCTTCCTCCTCTTCTTCCTTCCCATTTTCTTCCTCTTCAGCTACTTCACTGTCAGCCTCCTGTTCCCCATTTTCCCATTGTCACATGCATCTCTTCCATTCTCTGCCTCCTCTACAATTTCCTTCTAAGTCCTTGGTGGTGACCCTGGAGCTGGTGTCCACAATCCAGCTGACACGGTAGGGCACAGTGATGGGATGCAATGGGTGAAAAAGAAAGTGAGAGTTCAAAAATTTTAATGAGAAAGCTGCCAGAGTACCCAGTGGAGGAGGAGGCAGGTGGGGAAGGTGGCTCAGTGAGTGGGGAGCAGGACCCAGGAACAATGCAAAGATAGTTTTTTGGAATAGTCAATCTAATTCAAAAAACTTAGCCCTCTCCCTTTTCTAGCCAATCCTACATTCTAGGACTCTAACACATCAACTCTCCACTACCAAAAGGACGACATCTGGTACCCCGAAACACACCCAAAGCCTTTTCCACTACAGTATGTTAGTATCCTGAACTGTCCTTTTCACCTTTCTTAATGTGACACCTCCAAAGTACTGTCCTATCTTTCTAGATTCCCCTAAGTGTTAACTTGTTAATCTTGTGAGAAGAAAAAGAAATGTCTTGAAACTCTGAGTATGTCTATTTCACTCGGTTCTGGTTCACGGAAAAGCTTTAATGTTTTCATGTAATTTATCCCACCTAAGCTAAACTGCAAGAAAACATCAAAGCAAACAGTCTACCTCCCAAAAAGTCATTCTAATTGGACAATTTTAAGAATTATTTTACTCACAGACACAAGACTATAATTACTTATTTAGCTTTGACATGTTTCCAAATTATATTTTAAAGATTTTAGAAAGAAAGGTAAAAGTCTGAATAAATGTAAGATCAAAAAATTGTGTTAAAAATCATAAAAATCTATATACATTTTCAAGCCAGGCATGGTGGTGCATGTCTGTTAAGTCCCAGCACTTGGGAGGCAGAGACAGGCAGATCTCTGTGAGTTCAAGGCCATCCTGGTCTACACAGTGAGGTCCAGGCCAGCTGGGACTACAGGGAGTAAAAAAAAAAAAAAAAAAAAAAAAAAAAAAAAAATCTATATACATTTTATCTGGTCAATGGAGACATAGATCTTTTCAAAACTTGAACTTAAATTCAAACCTCAAAGCCTAAAGATTTGTCAGTGACTGACAACTAATTCAATGTCTTTGGAATTTGCTTCTGAATTTGTCATGGTTTGAATGTATCCCCCCTCCACATATCAGGTATTATAATGTGTTGGCATTAAGACATGGGGCCTTTAACAGATGATTAGGTACACACCCTCCTTTCTCAGTGATAGGATTAAGGCCTTTATAAAAGCAGCTTAACAGATCATTTTGCTAGCTTGCTCCCTCGACCTTATGCCTTCTACCACATAGGACACAAAGGTTCTCCAGACACTAAATGCTAGCCCAACTCCCTATCTTTCAGAACTGTGTGAACATAAATTTCTGTTCTTTTACAAATTACCCAGTCCCAGATATTCTAATTCCAGCAGCACAAAACAAGCTAAAACGAAGTTCTTAGATGGTTTTCCGCAAGATACAGTGTCATTGCTTCTAGCGAGTAGTCTCTGCAAAGTTGTCCAACTTTCCTTTTATTCAAATACAAAACTTTTTGTGTGTGGACATATGCATGGCGCCCAAAGGCAATGTTGAGTTCTTCCTCAATTACCCTCCACTTGTGTGTGTGCACATGCATGTGTGTCTATGTGAGAGAGAGAGAGAGAGAGAGAGAGAGAGAGAGAGAGAGAGAGAGAGACTCTCCCTATAGTCCCAGCTGGCCTGCAACTCTATAGATCTCGACCTCATTGAGATCAACCTGCTTCTGCTTCCCAAGCACTGGCATCACCATGCCCAGCTTCCATGTTATCTTTTGAGACAAATTCTCTCACTAAACCTGGGACTGGCTGATTGGCTAACTTGTCTGGCTGAACAGGAGGTCCCAGTGATTCTCCTGTCTCTACCTCCCAGCTGAAGTCACAGGCACAATTCACTGCACACAGCTTTGTTTTTTTATTGTTGAGTGCTGGGAATCCAAACGCAGGTCCACATGCTTGTCCAGCAAGCACTTTATCATCTGAGCCATCTTCCCAGCAGTAAATACAACCCTTTTTAAACTTAGTAGCTATTCCTAAAAGTAACCAAATTATAAGGTAAATATTGCTTATTCGTAAATGTAAACATAATATTTTTATTGTTTAATTATTTAATAACCACATAATTAGAAGAAGCATTTCATTACAACAGCATTGACATACTCAATAACAATTTCCAGAGCTAAGACGCATCTCTTTCAAAATTGGCTGTAAATTTTTAGGTTTACAGTTGAATTAATACAGATATACAATATTGTACCCAATATAAACCCTGTAAGACAATTGAACAAGGACTTTATTGCATTTTAATACACTTAGATGTTTGCACATGCATCTCTAATCTCTATATATCTAATTATTACTAGTCACATTCAGTTACTTTCTGAGATCCTTGGCACCTGAACATGGATATAAAGTCATCAGATAGATTTCAATGGTAATGTTTTTCACATCTACTAATTAACATAAAGCAAATATTTATGTTTCTTCTTCAAATGTAACTCCTTTTTTAAAATTTATTTTGTGTGTGTGTGTGTGTGTGTGTGTGTGTGTGTGTATTTCATACAAAACATCCCAAACAATCTTATTCATCTATAGACCCACATCCCAAGTGACACCCTCCCATAGCCCTCTACTCCCACTGGAGCCCATGTACTCCATCAACCCTGTCACTGTCCACTGTGTTGTCAGTGCCCACAGCTGTTCCCCAGTGCTTGTCCATCCACTGAGTGGATGATAGTCTAGTCAGCTCTTCCTCATCTAGCAGCAAGCAGTTGCCAATATTCCTTTAGATAAGATTGGGGTCTGCTGTTCATTTTCCCAGTTCTATGCTGGGTTACTGTTTGGGAGACTCTTGGGCCACTCTAGTCAACAACTCAAAGGAAGGTATCTCCTGTCTGGCGTTGTTTCTTGTTATGTAGCCTTTAGCTATACACATGGACTCTTTAAAGAATTGTACTATCCCTTTAATCTTTGTTATACTTTCATTTTGGTTGTTTAAGACCATGCAGTTGGCCCAGATAAATCAATTTATTTTTACTCTTAAGGTCGTTTGAGGATCTGGTCCTCAGGGGTCACATGGGCTTGGGAGGGGCCCCTGGCTCCTTTCTTTTACCAGTTCCATCTATGTGAAGATAAGTCAAAGGTCCTGCTTGACCGCAGACGGCTTCACTTGGAAGCATGGAGGAAATGTTTCCTCTGTGTGTAAACATAATTCTAATGTTTAATGTTAAGAGCCCTCATTTTCTAGGAAATAAAACACACAAAACAATTTGTTCAAAGGCACGTGGTTAACTGGAATCAAAGTCACAGTTTAGCAATCATACTCCATTTGAAATAAAATGCGCTTTTTTGTTACTCCCCATTAACATTATTAGTTCAAAAGAAAGGCTAAAGAATTGTTCAAACATCAAAATATTCATGAAATCAACAGGTAAAGGTACTTGTCCCCAAGCCTGATGGCCTGAGTCCAATCCTTAGAACCCACGTGGTAGAGAACATGGACTCCTGAAAGGGTCCTCCATAGCCACATGTGTACCATGGTACAACCACACACTAACAAACACGCACGCACGCACACACACATATCCACATACACAAAAATAAATGGGAAAAAAGATATTCATGAAATATATTCTTACATAAAATACCTACTTCAGCCATCTCTTCCTCTTCTTCTTCTTCTGAAGTTACCTCTTCAGTTGTCCCATTCTGAAACAGAAGAAGAATTTGCCAAAGCTACACAGAACACAGACTACATTAGAAAACTATCACCACCAATCACTATCACTGCAGCTCCATGAACACAAAGTTATCACAACTGAAACACTTTTTTTTTTTTTGTCTTTTTCAAACAGGGTCTCTCTGTAGCCCCAACTGGCCTGGAACTCACTATGTAGGCCACGCTGGCCTTGAACTCACAGAGATTCACCTGCCTCTGCCTCCCAAGTGCTGGGACTACAGGCGTGCGCCACCATGCCCAGCATAACATTAAATTTTTAAACCCAGCTTTGACTTAACACACAACCATTCATTTGTTTTCTTAAAAAGAAACAAGTTTAAACAATCCAATGTAACAGATGTCTTAAGAATAAACAAAAACAAAAGCATTCAGATATAAGGAAACTGAAAATGTTTAAAACATAATCTAATTTAAAATAAAAATTTTACTTACATAGTTATATGTGCTTTTACTTATAATAAATATTCTAAATTACAGATTATCTACTCTTTTAACTTGAAAAGCCTTAATTTCAACTTTCTACAAATTCAACTGCTTTACATTTCAAATAGTCAGGTATGTTATAAAGAAGTAAGATACTTTATAAAACTAAAAATGACAAATAATCACTACTTGACTAAAAAGCCTGTTTTTCTTTTTAAACAAGTTATTTATTATAGAATATTTCTCTATAAAATGCAATTTTACTGCATTTAATGGTTTTAGGAAGGGTCTTCATATCTAAAGTTCAAAAAGAGAAGTCTCCTGAGCCAGAGTTAAAGGTCTTCAGGTCTCCATGAGTGTATCTCATTCATAAGGTGAGCTTTAAATGCTTACTATTGACCTCCTAGAAACTGAAAGAGAAAAGGGGGAAGGCAGTTCCAAAATTGTGGTTCATCCTTTTCTTCATTCCCCTACATTACATATTCCAAACTACATAACTAGTCTAAAGGTCCCAAAGAAAAGTCCGTGTGCCAAGGGTGAGAAAGAAATGCTAATTTCTGTACTTTCTCCAGAGAATCTGTTTTCAAAAACACTAAGGTGATTCTGACATGTAACTTTAGCCTAAGACTGTGACCATCAAACTAGTCCCTACCCTTCATTTTATAAACAAGAAAGCTGAGTAATGTCCTTCCCGCAAAGGATAATTTGACAAAAACACAAAGCCGGTTAGGCTTGTGAAATCCTAAGGTAAAAGTCATTTCAACATGTAGCCTGGCTTCTTTCTAAAACCCCCTGAAAGCAGGCACTGATAGTGCCTCACCCCTGTAATCCCAGCACCCAGGAGGGGTGAAGCAGGACTACTGTGAGTTCAAGCCAGCTTAGGCTGTATAATAAATTCTAAATTAGCCTGAGCTACAAATCGAAACCTTGTCTCAAAACAAAAACAAAATCAGAACGGGAGAGAAAAAAAGACTTTAGTAGAAAAAGTTCATTGCCACACTAGAAAAACAACACAGAAGGTGCTTACTTCCAGTGAACTAAAGCTGTAGGGACACATTAGAAGACACAAAGCAGATGGAATCTCACTTAGGTTAGGAAAGCCTTACCTACTCTAACTGAGGGGACCACAGAAAAATAACAGGACTTTTTTTTCCCAGATGAATCACAATTGCTATAGTTGCCTCAACTACAGTTTCTAAGGATCATTCACTTCTATGGGAAGCCTAGCTACCTTGATGTCTTCTCACTATGTGAGTCAGAACCAGAGAGAAAAGAGAGAATGCTTTTACTATAGCTCAACTCAACAGCAGGATCTCCCAACAGACTCAGGAGCTAGAAATCACCCGCACACTCCCAGTACCTCCCCATCCTTGTGCTGCAGAAGAAGAGCACAGGTCTACAGCAGAGGTGAGTGACAATCCTATGAGCATCAGTTTTAACGACTAGTACTGAGTATATATACCTCAGCTATAAAGGAGCAGATAAACAAGTAACAACAGGCAATTAAAGAAAACTGACATTTTTGAAAGGCACCATATAAAAAAGCCAGACACTGATTTGAAGCATTGCAAGTAAAGGAAATCAAATTTAAAACCTAACTGGCATCTTTAGTATTACTGAAAAACTACTGTACCCACAAAACACAAGGAAATTGTTATTAAAAAGGACAGGCCCGTTCTGAGGAATAAGCATTTGAAGGCAAGAAAAACAGTAAAGGGCTAAGAGAGCCCAATGGACATCTCTAAACAAACATTTATGATTAAGAAGAACAAAAGTGAGACATTCACTTACAACATGAAGAAAAGAGATGAGGGAAATCAGAAGAGTCAGAAGTAAGAGGACAGTCAGGGGGCATGAAAGACAGGCACACAGAGCCCTAATGCTCATCCAGAGGATGAAAGAAGTGGCTCTGAAAACCCCCAAAGAAATACTAAAAAGCAAAACAGCAGAATTCAGTTAAAGAGAAAACCAAACCAACTTCCAGAAAAAGAAAAATGAAACACACAGAAAGAGGGCTCAGAAAGGCACTAGACTTTTGTCTGCAACAATAAATATCAAGGACAATCCAAACAGAAGTCGTGTGTGCAAACATGTGTTCTTTCACCACTGGATCCTCCACACCAACGTACTTTTTATAAGCTAAAACCTGACACCAAGTATTCAATACTCTATGTATACTATACACATCTCTGCAACCCAAACCCTTCTAGAAAAATACAAAACCAGAATATGACTTGATGATCTACCTGGCATAGCAAAGACAGCAACCACACTGGGTCAAGTTTGAGAAACTGCTGATAATGTAGTTGAGAGCTCACAGCCACATTCTCTGATCAGGTTGACAAAAATAAAAATAAAAATAGCCCAAAAGTCATCTGAAAAATGTCTGAAAGTTCTCTGTCTAGGTAACTGTAGGGCTGAAGAAACAGATACTCATACCCTAGTAAATCAACTCAGTACATGCCCCAGAGAAACGACTACACAGAGACCAAAAGTAGAATGATTCAATTAGAAACAACCTAAATGTCCATGAACACTCAATGGCAAATGGGTAAACAGTCTGTTACATTCACACAATGGGATAAACACAGCAATGAAAAGAGAACTGCAGCTCACACAGTCTGGAGGAAATTCACATGCATTGCTGAGCAAAAGCAAACTACGAAATTAAGAGTACATACAGCGACTCTTAATATGCAGCTCAACAGCAGGCAACGTCAAACTCTATCATATGAGGCTGCATACATGACTGGTAAAACTAGAGAAGAAGATCTGAAGCAGTGTGTGCAAGGTTTCTGCTGTGCTAACAATTTGCTGCTGCTGCTGCTGCTGGGTAGTAGCTAGGGAACAGCTCCCAGGATCTCACCGTAACCATGCATTCTATTTAACTTAAGGTTTTTGTATTTTCAGCATACGCTGTATTTCATACAATAATTTAACAGAGTGATGTGAACAAAAGGTGTAACAGAACTACTTAGGAAATACAAGCTAATCAGAAATATATACAAATTTTAAACTTGTACAATGAAATCAAACAGCTTGCAAAGAAAATGTACAACCTCTCATGTTTGCTAAAAAAGTAATTTTAGGGCTAGAGAAATGACTCAGCAGTTAAGAACACCTACTATTCTTCCAGAGGACCTGGGTTCAATTCCAAGCACCCACATGGCAGCTAACAACCATCTGTAAACTCCAGTTCCAAGGGATCTGACACCCTCTTCTGACCTCTACAGGTATTGCATGCATGTGGTGTACTTACATACATGCAGGCAGATACTCATACACATAAAATAAAAATAATAAAATATTTTTAGAAGTAATTTTAAGGATGGGGCAATAGCTCAGCTGTTAAAGTGCTTGCCAACAAATGTAAGAACGTGAGTTCAGATTCCTGGCACCCATGTAAAAGCCAGACATGATAAGTGGGTGTCTATAATCCCAAGCACTAGGGATGCAGACAGACACAGGCAGTTCCCTAAGGCTCTTATGTCAGCAAGTCTAGCCTACTGGGTGAGGTTCAGACTAGTCAGAAATTCTGTCTAAAAAAGAAAGGTGGACATTACCTGAAAAACACCCGGGGTTGCTCTCTGGCCCCACAGAAACACATATATGTACACATGCACACGTTCGCACACACACATAATTTTAGTCAAATATACATTTTTTTAAAAGGTAAGGTGGTGCACACCTTTCATCCCAGGACTCAGGAGGCAGAGATGGGCAGATCTCTGTGAGTTCCAGGCCTGCTGAGGCTCTAGGAGGACCCTACCTCAAAAAGGCAAAGACAAAAAAAAAAAAAAGATGAGGAAAAGGAAGAAAATTAAAATGCTGGGGGAATACGGAAAAGAAAACACATCACATTTTTAAAAGAACAATCTTTTCCAAGTACCTAATCTATTAAAACAGGCAAGAAGAAGTAATCAGGATAAAGAAAACTACTTTAGAAATGGATCAGGCTCAAATGTTTGTTTAAAATAAGGTTTTTTTCACCTCAGCAACACTGATACATCAGGCCAGATACTTTGTTGTGGGGGTTCCATGAACTGCAGGATGTTTCAAAGTATCCTATCTACTCACAAAATGCCAACAATAGGTATCTATCTGCTGTAGCCTGTGATAACAATCAAAAATGCCTCCAGCTAGTTCCAAAGGTCCCATGAAAACAAAGCTGCCTTTGGTTGAAAATTACTAATCTGAAGTACACAAGATCAGTCAGGCATGGTGGTGCAAGCCTTTAGTCCCAGCACTCAGGGAGGGAGGCAGAGGCAGGTGGATACCTGAGTTCAAGGCCAGCCTGGTCTATATAGTGAATTCCAGGCCAGCTGGGGCTACATGGAGACCCTTCTCCAAAAAAAGGCATAAATAAATAAATAAATAAATAAATAAATAAATAAATACACAAGATCATTGAAAAGAAATGTAAAGCTTCCTAAGTCATTACCTTGATACAGGAATGAAACAGGAGCCTAAAAAAGAAACACAAAACCATCCTACAATCTGAGTATCAGTAAAAATATAAAAGCAAAATATTATCATATCCATCCTAATAATGTTTATTAAGGAAATGCAAAGATACTCAAAATTTTGTCATGCAATTCACAAATTCTACATCAGTCTCTCTATTATTAAAAAAGAGAAGCCCAGGAT